CATTAGGAAAGATGACACACCTTGGAGGCAATTATGCTTTCTGTGATGGTAAAACTAGTAACACTATGTTATTGTATCATGCCACACAGTAACCTTATGCAGCGCTATTGACGAGCTTTATTGAGGGTGGCTCATGAGCTCCCTATGCAGGGACATTTGGGCAGGGACAAGACTGAAATCCGTATTTGGGCAAGATTTTTGGCCAGAGCTGTTGTGGGAAGTGGCGAGGTATTGTGCTTCATGTCCCATGTGCCAAAAAGTGAATCATAGACAATCCCCAAAGGCTCCTTTAGTTCCAATGCCTTTGGTGGAGGTTCCCTTTCAGCGGGTGGCGCTGGACATTGTGGGGCTGCTTCCCCGAAGTAGTGCTGGGAACCAGTATATATTAGTTTTACTGGATTACACAATGAGGTACCTGCAAGCTGTGCTGATGCGGACCGTGTCCATCCCAAAGGTCACATATGAGCTAGTAAAGATGTTCTCCCGCGTAGGACTCCCTAAAGAACTGCTGATGGATCAGGGAATGAATTTTACATTATGGGTGTTTGAGGGAGTGAGTAAAGCTTTAGGAATTAAAACACCTGAGGATGGCAGTGCATCATCCCCAAACAGATGGGCTCATGGAACTTTTTAATCCAAAACTGAAACAAATGTTAAAGAAGTTTGTGGTCGAGAGCCTTCAGCAGTGGGATAAAATGATACCACCTTGGTTGTTTGCAGTAAGGGAGGCACCTCAGGCCTCAACTGGGTTTTTCACCCTTTGAATTATTATATGGCCAAGTTGAACAAGGGAAGCCTGAAGGAGGGGAGCAACCAAAAGGGATCCTGGATCTGATTAAAGAGAGTTGGGGCAGAACAGCAGAGTAAGGACCAGAACTTGACCCAATATGTAATACACCTGCGGGAACATCCTGAAGCAGCTCAGAGCACGGTCTTAGGAAACCTCAGGGAGGCACAGCAATGTCAAGTGAGATATTACAACCAAGGTGCCCGGACAAGGAAGTTTGACATGGGAGATCGTGTGTTGGTTTTATTGCCAGACCGGGAGAGTAAATTACTCGCTTGGTGGCAGGGACCCTATGAAGTTATATGCCAAGTGGGGCCTGTAGACTATGAGGTGTACCAGACAGATAAACAGAAAAAGAAGCAGGTATAACACGTTAATATGCTAAAGAAGTGGGAAGACCAAGAATGCATGTACCTAGCCCTCCATCCTGAGGGATTAGAGTTGGGACCCTCTTTGACAGAGGAGAGTGGACCAGGGGACATAGAACTGGCCCTGCGACTATCAAAAGAGCAGAGAAGACAGGCTGCTGAGGTAATCAGGGAGTATGGAGATGTGTTCTGGGAAACCCCTGGGGAAGCTTGGGGTGTGGTACATCAGGTAAGAACTCCTCCAGGCCAGGTGATCCGTGAGAACTGGCGGTGGATTCCACCGTGACTGCAAAGCCAGATAAAGACAGAGATAGCAATGATGCTGGAGAAGGGCATCATATGCAAATCCCACAGCGACTGGCAGAGCCCCATCATAGCGGAACCTAAACCTGATGGAAAGATTTGTCTCTGTATTGATTTCCGGAAGGTAAATGCAGTAGCTAGGTTCGATGCCTACCCGATGCCAAAAATAGACGAGCTGATAGAAAACGTTGGGCAAGCCTGCTACATCTCCACCTTAGACCTGACAAAAGGTTACTGGCAGATCCCAGTGGCACCCGAAGATCAAGAAAAGACAGCATTCACCACCCCTTGGGGTCTTTTCCAGTTCCAGCACATGCCGTTCAGATTACATGGAGCCATGGCTACATTTCAACGTCTAATGGACAGAGTTTTGGCTCCCCATGGGGGTTACGCCACGGCTTATATTGACGATATTATTATCTACACTGAGAGCTGGAAGGAACGCCTCACCACACTCAGAGCAGTAGTGTAAGACTTGAGAAGGGCCGGGTTGACAGCCAATCCGAAGAAATGCACGATAGGGAAAAAGGAAACGCAATATCTGGGGTTCCTAGTAGGAAATGGAAGGGTGAGACTGCTATTAAGGAAGGTGGAGGCCTTGCAGAAGTATCAAGCTCCTCATACTAAACGACAAGTAAGGGCCTTTTTGGGGTTAGCCAATTATTATAGGAGGTTTCTACCTCACTTTGTGGAGGTGGTAGTGCCTTTGACAGAGATGATAAAGGCGGGGGCTCCTACCAAGGTGAGATGGACACCGACTGCGGAAGAGGCTTTTCGAGCAGTGAAGGATGCACTATGTTTACAACCCCTACTATATGCACCAGACTTTAACAAACCATTCCAGGTGCAGAGAGATGCATCAAAAGTAGCTATTGGAGCCATGTTGGTTCAGAGAGAGGGAGAAGAAGAGCGCCTTATAGCCTACATAGGTTGGAAATTACATCCACCGGAACAGAATTACGCCACGATAGAGAAGGAGTGTTTGGCAATTAAGTGGGCTGTTGAAACACTCCAATACTATCTACTAGGACATCGGTTCATGCTGATCACTAATCATGCACTCCTACGCTGGTTACAGAACATGAAGACAGACAATGCTAGGCTCATGAGGTGGGACCTTAGTCTACAGCCATATTGTTTTGAGATATAACATGACCCTGGGATCTAGAATACAAATGCTGACTTCGTCTCAAGGCAATATGAGGAAGAAGAGGGACCAGGAGAAATGGAAAGACCCTGGACAAAAGAGGAGAAAAGGGGTTGTGTAGCAGGGAACTCTAACCCTGTGACCAGGAGGCAGATGATCCCCCTAAGTACAGACCCTTCCAATCAGGGCCAGCCCATCAGAGGACAGGAGGAGGAAGGTCAAGGCCTTATAAAGGGAGAGAAGAAAGAGAGAGAGGGGTGTCAGAGAGGTGGACCCCCATGGCTATGATATGGTGTTTGCCATCTCAGCCGGAAGGATACACCAAGCCCGGGGCCCTACAGGCCTAAGTGAGACCCTACCAAGGCTGGCTAATGTGGGGGGGACTACCTGTGGCAGGGTAACTCCCAATAAATCGCACATGGTACAACCTTGGGGAAAAGGCGAGTAGGAGGCATCTGAAAACCTCTGCCTCCCATTCCTGAGTTGTCAGGCAACCAAAGAAGAGCCGAGAGAAGTCCTGAATGGCAGTGGTTTTCAAGAGGTGGAGACTTGTCCTGGTGAGTCCGAGTCTTAAGGGGGGGAGGTGCGTTGCAGAGCACTTAGGCGCCCTGCTCCTTTTAGAGAGGGGTAACTGTTGGGAAAGAGCCCTAGCAGTGAGTGAGAAGCCCCAGCTGCTGGCTGCCAGCGCAACCAAAGTTAGCTAGTGACCCACACCTGCCAGCAGTCAGCTGACTGGAAGGGGCAGGGCCTGGTCCACATTTAAACCCACCCAAGGCTGGGGCCAAGCTGGCAGTTTCCTGCTAAGAGCCAAGGGAGAAAGAGCTTGGCCGGAGCAAACAGAGGGGAAAAGCCTGACTGCACGAGCAGCTCCTGATTGTGGTTGTGGGGTGGAGAATTCCCTGGTAGGGATTGAATGATGTTTAGCCGGACAGCTCAGATTTTATGTTATAGCCCAGGAGCTTGTGTTTTGCATTTGTCATTTAGACCCGGCGGTTTGGGTGAGGCTATCAGGGGTTGGAGGAGGCCTCATAGAGGAGCCACAGCTTCATGGAGACCTCAGCCCCAGAGAGAAGGGGGCAGTGAGAAGCCCCAGAGAGAGGGGGCAGCATTGGCGAACACCCAGTGAGGCACCCAGGGAGGACAAGGGGGCCAGATTAGAGTAAGGCCCAGACTAAATGATGTGAGTACCATTTGCGAGGCTTGGGGCTGTGGTGTAGGGAAGGAAAGGAGCCGCAGATAGTGCCCCCTTGAATCGGGGCAGCAAAATGGACAGCCTCCCACTTAATTAACATCTTCTAATTAGACAATTAACAACAAGGCATGGCAGATGAGAAGGTGGGAGGTTGGCCCATAACAGGTGGGCGGGGTCACCAGTGGACAGACCCTGAAGGGCACACTTGTCACAGTTTGGATATGCTAGTAATATTTATTATTTTCTGTTATTTTAATCATTACATCTTGTCATTCTTCCTCCACAGCTTGCAAAGAATCCAACCTTCCTGTCAGTGCATCTAAGTGCAATACTCTGATTAGCTTCCATCTTGACTATGCCATCCATCCACATCTATTTGTTCCTAACATTATCTTCCTTAATTTCACCTCGTCTCATCCTCTTTTGGATTCAAAAATCCAAGTAGACAGATTCAGTCTACTTGAATCCATTTACTATCCGTGGCTTCCCCTTGTGCACCACATCAGGCTTAATCATGTATAGAACTCCTATTAACTTCTTTGCGGAGACCTGGAAAGTTCAGGCTCTTGTGTTCTTACAACAATACCACTATAGGCTCACTCTTACTTATCTGAGTGCACAAATGTTATGTACCTGCAAAACTGGTGGCTGAGTTTCCAAGGTCTGTTTGATAATTTGGTCCTACATGACTTGAACTGAAGAAAGTTAGAAAACCCAGACAATAATTTACAATAACATGCCATCCAAACATATTCATCGTTTGGACTGAAAACCTACAATCTCTGATTGTTGAATGTCTGACAGAACTCAATCACCAACCCTCCATCCAACTTTCTCTAGAATACTCCAGCACCAACATCTCCTTTTTAGACACAATGATCAGTATCCAGAATGGTAAAATACAGACCAAGTTATACAAGAAACCCACAGACCAACATACATATCTGCACAGAACCAGTAATCACTCTAAAAAAAGCAGTAATCTACCAAAAAAGCTGTGATATACAGCCAAGCCCTCAGAT